TAGTGAGTTCAGGACCAACCTGAATTGCACTGAAAGACTTTGTCTCAAAAAATATAAGGTTTGTTTTTACAAAAAGGAATAAGAGAGGGTGGAAGAGGAAAGGAAAAAAATGAAAAAGTAAAAGACAGTGAGAAAAAGGGCAGGCCACATAGCTCAGCGGACTAAAGTACCTGCTTAGACAGGCGCAGGGACCAGGTTTCAATCCCCCAGTGCTGTGCTGGGCCCGCCCCTGGGGCACCTGGGACAGTGAGACTGGGTGTGCCTGTAATCCCAGCACTTGGGAGGCTGAAAAGAGGAGGATCACTACAAGCCCAATCTGTGTAATGAGACCCTGTAGTCTCTGTACTAAAATACATAAAATAAAAAAATAGTGAGAAAAGAACATGTAAACATAGCTTTTGTAAATGGGGAGAGCAGTTAAAGGGAGGGGAGTAGGCTGGGGAAGAAAATAAGTTACATCATGTACAGGTACAAATTCTCTATGATGAATGTAATCTCTACATAAAAAGTACCAATAAAATCTGATTTTAAAAAAAGAAGCTACTATGTCTCCAATTTTTTTTTGGAGATGGCACATGGGTTTGTGTTGCCTGTGCTGACTTCAAGAAAGATCCTTCTGCCTCAGCTCCCCAAGTAGCTAGGTACACCACTGCACCTAGCTCAGGAAAGAAACTATGAAGTGAAACTGCAAAAAAAAATTTTTTTGTGTAACTTTTACCCTCTTCTAATACCAAAGCCAAGCTGAACAAACGTCCTATCATCTCACTGGCTTGCTCCCAACGAGTCAGGGTAAGTCACAGCTGGGTCAGTAGTACATGCAGCGTGTGCGATGGAACGGAATCCCTTTCATGTCTTCCCTGTGGTCCCGGGCATAGTCCCACAGGTAATAATCCAGGAGGATGGAGTTGATCTCGCCATTAGGCTTTCCACTCTGTTTCTCAATAAGCTCCAGAAGACAATCCCGGATCAGCTCGACACACCACAGAGAGCACCCTCTGATTTCCACCTCCTGCTTATCTCCATATGACAGCATTTCTCCTCTGCAAAGCTTCTTCAGCAGTTCATCGGAGTACTTCAGGGCTCCCAGGTGGGCGAGGTCCTGTGGCAATCAGTAGTTAGCAAACATGGTGATGCTGGCAATGTCTGTGAAGCAGCCATCCCCCTTGCCTTCTAGTACGCTCCAGGTGTCCGCCACAAGGATCTGCGCTCGTTTGTAGAAGGCAACTCTTTTCCCCTCAAATTCAGTCACATCTCTGTAAGAAGGAAAACTTTCAACAACCAGCTGCAGTAACTTCTGCGCGCTTTTTTCACTCTTTCGGACGCAGTTAAGGAAAGAGCCTCCAAACTTCTCCAACAGAATTGTCCCTGCCTCGTTGAGAACACGATGCCTCTCTTCCATTAAAGGCATGGGGACATCGGTGTCAGAACGAAATACGTGCCGAACCTGGTCCAGGGTCACGGTGGCATAATAGGAGGCACTCGTTATTGGTATCCCAGGCACTTGCGCTCCTCCTGCTCTGCCCAGAAGGAGAAGTTGAGCGTGTCCACCACGAACACCCAGCTGAGCGCCGCCTTGTCGGTCGCGCAGGGGTTCAGCTC